GGGTTAGGGTTAGGGTTAGGGTTAGGGTTACAGCGCGCTTCTGTCGGCGCGCTGTTGTCGGCGCGCTTCAGGGCTCATTCGTCGGCGCGGTTTTGTCGGCGCGGTTTAGTCAGGCGCGCTTTTGTCGTTCGCGCATTTGTGGTGGAACCAAACCTTTCCAGGTGGTTTTCTGACTTGTGGAAGCACCTGGGATGGTTTTCACAGGAGGAGAGAGAGAGAAGAGGCTATTCTGGAAAAGAGGACAAGGCTGTATGTCCTGGGAAGAGGAAGAGGCATCTAGCACAGTCTAGGGATTGTAGTTTTTTAGCACAGGGAAACAAACAGGAAACATTAGGAAGTCTTGATATAGAAATATGATTTAGTGGCATTACCGGTCCTCAAAGTTACAGCAGCACTCCTATCTATTTAGCACAGTCGCTATCACAGTTCTCTCGCTTCCCCTGCCAGATCAAATTTCCACTGTCTTCTTCCCAGGCAGAAGCTTCTTGTATCTTGTTCTTTCCTTTTCTGCAGTCCACAATGTTTAGTCCTAGTCTAATCACAATCTCAGTTCGTGTTCCTTTTGCCTGCAGTAATTCTCCAGCAAGTTCAAGCCCTCAGTACATTTCCTCCATTTCTTCTCTGAATGATAACTCTGTTTTCTCAAGGTTCCACTCCCACCGCTAAAGTGCCTTGGAGACTCACTCACCCACCAAGCTATAGGTTCACACTTTCTGAAAGTCACACCAGTTCTTCATTTCAACTCCTCAAAATCCACCGAAACTTTCTGCTGTTTCTCTCTTCTTGCTTCCTTCTCCATTTAAAGGGCTGTCACACCTCCGGATCCAGCCATAAAGGCCAGTCTTTCCATGCTGGATTTGAGAGGTTTCTCCTACTATAACAGGGGATGGCACCTCTCCCTGTTATCCTCAAGCTTCCCCTCTCTGTCGCTGGTCTCTCCGAGAATCAGCTCTGCCTTTACAAGCCTCCTGGCATGGGAAATCGGGCAGAAAGAACAGATCCCTGTTTTTCTGCTACGCACCGGCGTGATTCCACCCTGGAAGTCCCTTGAAAATGTTTCTTATTTTACCTTTATTTTGTTCTGTTTGTGTGTTTTTCCTATTTGTTCCTCCCACCCACCTTTCCTTTCATTCCTGTCTGTTTTTTTGTGCACGAGCTGGTCTCGTTGCTGCTGAGGGAACCCTCGATACCACTGGCAGTTGCAGGGGGCTCCAAGCCACACGCCGGGGGGGCGCTAAGAGATGCAACCTCCCTCTTCCATCGGGGGGGGGGGTGTCGCTGGGACAATCGGACACTTGGGGAACGAGCTTGTCGCAGCTCACTCAGGCATTGGGCCGCATGATTGGCGACCGCCATTTTGGAAGAGCTTGATCAGTAGTCATTTTGAGGAATGCACGTGGCTGGACCCGCAGGCGCTTGGAGGCCACTAGCGGTGCCGGGAGGTCCCTTCCTGGGCCAGTTACTCGATCATTGAATTGGGGAGGGTCCCTGCTGCATGGTGAGCCACGGATCGGCGGTACTTGAAAAGGAGCGTGCGGGTCGAAGGAGCTACGATCCGCATGCAGGCAGCCCTACACCTTTGTTTTGGCCCAGGAAGGCGAGGTTGTAAGGCCATGGCCCTAAGTACCTGTGACAATGGCGGATGCCAGGAGGCGAGGGGTGGCAGCTGCCCCTAAATCTCCAGGAGATTCTGACCCGGACGAGGGGACCTCCAGGGGGGTTGTGGTGTACCTCCATATCGTGAATTTCCCAGATCTGAAAGTTCCTCAAGTTTTCATACAGGGGAGTCCACTATCAATACAGGGCCCTCCCCTTTGGTTTGGCATCAGCTCCCAGAACCTTCAGCAAAGTACTGGCTGTGGCAGCGGGTCATCTCCATTCCATGCAAGTCTGGTTGCAGTGCTACTTTGATAACATCCTGGTGCAAGCCACGACTGCAGACCGGGCTAAGGGAGATCTGGGTCGATTAACACCTTGCAGACCCTGGGGTTCTCGATCAACCTCAAGAAAAGTCACCTGGTTCCCACTACTAGACTCCAGCATTTACGGACCATTATCGACACTGTGGAGTGTGAGGTGTTTCTATCACAGGAGCGCAAGGGCAGTATAGTGGAGTTAATTAAAGAAATTTGTAAGGCATGTTCTGTTCTCGTAGTTCTTCTCTCTTGGCTCCTGGGCAAGTTCATCTTGTGCATCGGGATAGTCCCATGGGCATGCCTTCACGCCAGGGAACTGCAGTGGTTGCTGCTTTCGCACCAGAGGGATGGGATAAGCAACGCCCTCTTCAAGATCCTCGTGCCACCTCAGGTGTTTCTGTCTTTACGTTGATGGATGTCCCCAGCTCTGGCCAAGAGTTCCCTGTTCAGGGAACCAGACAGGTTTGTTCCGACGACGGACGTGAGTCTTTTCGGTTGGGGGGCCCACTTAGAAGCCCAGTTAGCTCAAGGCCATTGGATGCCCTCAGATCTGCAGAAGAACATAAACTGGCTGGAAGTCAGAGTGGTACACCTGGCACTTCGCCACTTCAAGGGGACAGTCAAAGGTTAACATGTCCTGGTCTTGCTGCCAAGGCCCATGTAAACAAACAAGAGGGCACTCACTTGATGGTGCTGCAAGATGAGGCAGTGCGGCTGGGAAATGGGCAGAGCAAAATCTTCTTCTATCGATTCGAGCAGAGCATATTTCCAGGGTGGAAAACCAGCTGGCAGACTGGCTCAGCAAGGAGACAGTGGACCACGGGGAGTGGCAGCTTCATCCCAGCATTTTCGAGCAATTTGTCGGCAGTTCAGTCGGCCGACAGTGGACCTCTTCGCCACCCCGTCGAACGCCCAGGTCTCGGACTTCATCTCTCAGTTCCCAGCTCAAGGGGCAGTGGGCATTGACGCCCTGCGTTGCAGATGGCCGACGGGCCTCCTCTACACCTTTCCCCCCCTTCCCCTCCTTCCCAGGGTTCTGAGGAAGTTAGTGCTAGAGAGGGCAGAGGTGATTCTGGTAGCACCCTATTGGCAACGGTGACCCTGGTTTGCAGACGTGATGGGGCTGTCAGTCCTTCCCCATTAGAGGATTCTACAGGGTGAGGTGGCTCTACGCCAAGGGAACCTGGTCTATCTGGAAAGAGTGGCTTCAGCTGACTGCTTGGCGCTTGAGTGGGAGCAGCTGAGAGTGACTCAATTTTCAACCAGAGTGATCAGGATCATTGAGGCCTCCAGGAGGCAATCTTCCACCTGCATTTATGATGCAACTTGGTCCTCATTTGTGTCCTGGTGTCGGTCCGCACACCAGGACACAAATGAGGTGCTGGAGTTCCTCCAGAATGGCCTGGAGAAAGGTCTAGCCAACAAAATACCCTCAAGAAACAGGCCTCAGCTTTAGCCATAGTCCGGGGGGGGGGGGGGGGACTCTCGATCTGTAGCTCAGCACCCAGTCATCAAGAGGTTTCTCAGAGGGGCAGCTAACCTCAGGCCCCCTGTGGTACACCGGTTTCCCACATGGGACCTTCCCATGGTGCTCCAGGCACTGACTGAGGCCCCTTTCGAGTCTTTGAGGATGGTGAGCTTTCAGTTCCTGATCCTCAAGGTGGTGTTCCTGGATTACCTCCGCCAGACGTGTACCAGATTAGCAGCTTTTGGTCAGTCAGGGACCAGGGCGGGTTTGTTGGTGTTGTCTTTCCTATACTCTTCCTTCTCAGGTTGTTCTTTGGGACATTGACCTTCAATTAAAACTGGAGAGCCAGGAAGAGGAAGTAGAGAGATGTGGCCTCTAATTTAACCTCAGTCTCTGGAAAGATTGGATGTGAGAATACCCATCAGTGACTCATCCCACAGGACTTTTGAGAAATGCAGTTCAGGTGGACCAACTGAGAATTTCTTCACCACCCCTTCTGGGTGGCTTAACCCCATCGGGTCTCCCAGCAAGCAGTTGCCCGCTGCTTTTCACAGAGCCCAGCAGAGCTCCGCTATTTTCCAGCCATTCTCACCACGATGTCAACTGGAGGTCCACAAGGGCTCTGGATTTGATCAGGAGCCTCAACCCAACTCTCATTTTCTCAAAAATCAGCCTTCATCCCACCAGGCCACCACCACTGTTCCTGAGCTCTCAAGCTTGATCAGACAAGGCACAGCTTTGCATTGGCCTTATTTTCTTTATTTTGGCTTGCTTTCTTGATGTTGTAGGTGTATCAAGGAGAGACCGATATTAATTCCTCTGTGAAATTAACTATTTTAGCCTGATATGATGCAGGTGGCCCTCAGCTAAGCTCTACCCCACCCCTCTTGGCGTCTGCCTAGTCATCTAATTGTTCTCCTGTTTCTTGACTTAATTATCTGCATACTGTTTTTGATAATGTGGCTGTGTATCTATCCAAATGTGTAGCTAGATGTGTGTAGCTGTTGCTAAAGTCCCCTAAATGTGAATTAAGGCCTGCCAAACTCCCAGGGCTTCTGCAACTGCCACTTTCTTTCTCATGCATTCAGATCATCTTCTCCTTCTAGAAGTATACACTTGCTCTCTTTTCCATGGCAGCCTTGATCCCCTGGGCCTGCATCTCTTCAGCAGCCTTAGAGAGCCCCTTCCCCCTTTTCTCCATGGTTCATTTGGGATCAGAATTCTCAATTCTTGCAGACTTAGAAAATATTCACTGCTGTCATTTAGGTTGTCCTGGGTGTGTAAGAAATTCGTATATTGGGACAGTTGTGTATTGCGTTCCAGTGGAGGAGAAAAACGGAAGAAGCGATTGGAGAATTTGGAGGGAGGCTGCACTCCCTGGAAGGATTGTGATGGAGTAGGAGAAGATAATGTCTGATGGGGGGGGCATGGGCGCTTCTTAACGATTGCCATTTCTCCCCATCAGAAGTCCGCATGCAGGAGATGTTGTCCATGGGGATTGGGAACAAGCCGTACCTGGACATCATGCCTAGCGAGGCTGCCATCCACGACCGAGCCATCAATTACATTATGAAAGGCAGAGGTGAGTCCCTCCCCAACGTGCTCCTCTCGTGTCCAAGGCTGCTTTGGCCTACATGATGATTTCCTCTCTTTGCGACAGGCGCCAGGACCCGGGCTTCCATTGCGGTGTCTCTCTTTGACCATGCCAACCCTTACAAGAGATCTCCGACCACTCTGCCTGCCAGCAGCCCATCCTCCTGCTCAGGGATTGGGCCTCTCAACCTACACATGTACCTGGACCAGACCTTGCTGCCTACGGTGCTGCCCACCAGCCTTCCTTTAAGGGCTGGGGTCTGCACTGAGGAAGATGAGATGGAGAACGAGACAAGCAGTCAGCCCTCCATGAGTACGTAGGATCCCTCTTTTTCTAGCACCCTCTCAGAAAATATTGGCCACCAGGAAATCTCCTGGAGCATCTCTCTTCAGTTGGCCTCATCCTGCAACCCCACCAGCTGCTGTGGTCAGCCAAGGCAGGGCCACTCAGCCCCCTGTGGAGCAAACCCACTCCGTTCCCAGTCTCTGCCTTGGAAGCCGCCATCTCCCTGAGCACCTTCTGAGCAGGAAGGAGATCCTGGCTGACTCCGTTGCGGAGTGGACGCCTTGGGCTAAAACCTAAACGTGGGTTATCATCTAACGTCGTGTGCCCCAGATTCTAGTTTCATGTCAGGGCCTGATTCTAACTGGCTGAGGAGGGAGGAGTGTGCAGGTGGGGAAGGCGCAAGGACGGGGGCACTGCAGGAGAAGCGTCCCCTCTCCCCTTCCAGCAACAGGATTGTGTGTCTATTCAAACTGCCCAGGGTTTCTTCTTTCCCTTTAGCCACCGAGAGCTCCGAGTCCTCCCAGGGCCTGCCTGGAAGCGGCTCCAGCAGTTCTGACGGCTGCCTTCACAACTTGTGCGAGGACTGGAGATCCCCACTCCCCGCAGCAGCAGACTTCTCCTTAACCTCCACAGATATGGAGAAAGACTGTTTCCCCAGCAACCAGTATGTTTCAGCGGTAAGCAAATGGGGCTTGGCAGGCCAAGCCGGCCCCTCTCCTGAGAGTTCTGCCCCATGACTGCTGCGCAGCATAGGGTGAGGGTGGTCCGTGCAGACCACCTGCAGGCTTCTGGTGTGCTGAGTGGGCTTGCATTTTCAGGAACTGGTGGCTTGCTGGGCAGTGCAGAGACTGGGGCAGCCCAGGAATTTCTCTGTGCAACTCCCAGATGCTGCTCTCTTGCAGGTTTGAACGCAGCCAGAAAAGACGGGACCCAATTGCTGGGCAGACCCCTGGATGCAGATGCTATGAGGGCCCCTCATCCTTCTGATAAGCTCTACAGGAGGGAAGCAGCTCCTGTCTGCCTCTTCGGGTAGCCTGAGAGCTGGCACAGGGAAGCCGCAGCAGCTGAGAAAGGCGGGTTGGCGAGTGTTGGTGGCTCGAATGGGACCCAAAGGCCAACTGGGGTGGCGGGGAGGGGGGAGAAGTGCAAGCGGGAGAATGATCCGAGCGCTGGCTGGCTGGCTTGGTTTCCACACCTTTACTCACACCAAATTTTTAGTAATTGTATAAATATGCAGCAGGAATCAAATCCCAGACATCGTTATTTCTTAAATCTTGCAATCTAGCTTTCTTTCTTTCTTGCCTGGTGTTTCCTAATGGTTCCAAAAGCAGGTTCCACAGAAAGCAAAGGGCCGTTAACCCTCTTGCCTTCCTGGGAGGTAAAATAGCCGCTTGCCTTCTGTTCCTCCACTTTTCTGAATGGGGTGCTGCCCCTTTGGGAGTTCAATAAAGGCTCCTCTGACTCAGACCTTTCAGCCCCTTCAGCTGCTGGTTTGAGAGTTCAGTTGAGGCATCTTCTCTAGGCACGGTTAGGTTTTTTTGTTGAGCATACAGAACTCCAGGAGACAACTAGAAGTGGCTGCTGTAGCCCTTCCTTCCCGCGCACCTCTTGTCTTGTTGTTAATCACAACTTTGTTCCATTCACATGCTATGAATATGGGTTTTATTTTATACATGTATTTAAGAATTAACATTTTCACTTTCTGAGAACAGATATTACAGCTATTTGGTGCAATACAGCATGGAGAGCTACTGTACTGGATTTAGAAACATCAGAAATATTTTTTTCTTAATCTATTACTGGCTTTTATAGAGAGTTTACAAAAAAAGAAAGCAAGTTGAAGAAAGCTTAGACTAAATTTTTCAGGAACACATCATCTCATATATTTCTGGAAGTCCTTGATTTTGTTTATTTTTTAAATATTGTTATTGCTAGAAATAAAGTCCTAATATATGGTTGCTGCCAATGTTATTTTTAAATCTCAATAAAAAGTTGTTTCTTCCAGTTATTTGGCTGCATGTTTATTGCTAAGATTAGAATCAGAGTAGAGGTGGAAGAGAGCTGTCTTCTAGTCCAACCCCCTGGCCTATATCATTTCAGATAAGTGGCTGTGCAGTCTCCTTAAAAACCTCCAGTGATGAAGTACCCACAACTTCGGAAGGCAAGCTGTTTCACCAGTTAATTGTCCTCACTGTTAGGAAGTTTCTTCTTAATTCCAAGTTGCTTCTCTCCTTGATTAGTTTCCATTGTTTCCTGTTTTGTCTTCTGGTGCTTTCGAAAGTAAGTTGACCCCCTCTTCTTTGTGGTAGCCCTTCAAATACTGGAACGCTACTCTCATGTCCCATGCCTTGTCCTTCTGTTCTTTAGACTACCCATACCCAGATCCTGCAACCATTCTTCATATATATTAGACTCCAAGCCTTTAATCCTCTTAGTTGGTCTTCTTCATCACTGTCTTCCCTGTTTTGAAGCATCTGTCTCTTTTTCCATGATTTTTATTTGTTTTCCTCTTAGATCACTAAGAATTTAAAAATGTCTAAAGAATTAAAATAACGTTTATTTTTTTAATTGAAAAAAAATGAAAATTTTAAAACATTGAAAAAGTTTTTAAAAATTTAAAACAAATTGAAACTTTAAAAAGATTTAAAAATTGGAAAATGTTTAAAAATTGGGAAAAAATGAAAAAAGAAATTTTAAATTTTTAAAAAGATCATTACAGTCTATGCTGTGTGGGATAAAGTTGTTGAATTGACCCCTTCATCCCTGGGCAGACTTCTAAGCCCACAAGATGGAGAAAGGTATCCCAGCTGCCTTAGGGCCTCAGGGCCCCTCATCAGGCGGATGGGCTCCAGGCTTTGTGCCAGAACGTCCACTGAGGGGCCTGATGTGCAGATGGAAATTCACAGCCCAAGACCTGTTCTAAATCAGAGAAGGGAGAAGATGCAAGTCCTCTGAAACGGAGGCTGCTGAATAACTGGACCGGTTTGTGGATTTAAAAAGTGACTACATGCTCAAAAATACACGTCCCACAATTGTTACAACCTCTCTTTCTTCCCTCCACCATTCAGTTACTTCCCGGGTTACTTCCTGGGGCGTTTGAGGTGATAGGCAAACAGGAGGGTAGAGCTCATCCTGAGGGCGGCCTTTATGTTCTCGGGAAGAATGTCCTCAAAGGTTGACAAATCCCACAAACGTGAAGCTGAACATGTAACTGCAAATAATTTTCACAAGTAAACGGGGAGAAATCTAAAGAGACCAGTAGGAGGCAGAGCTCTCATGAACGTTGAAGAGGTGGAACAAAGAAGAGGAGTCCCTAGAAATTGAAGGAACTGGCTGAAAAAATAAAGCTCAAAATAAGCCAAGATGAGGGGTGTCACATGCAGGTAACGCCCCCCCCCAGCTCCGCCAATGGGGAAAATGTCGCAAAACATGGCAATGTGACACAGCAAGTTTGACACCAGTCAACAAAAGTAAAATTTAAAAATGTAACATTTCAAAAAATGATCTTCCATATGTGAGAAAGTCAAAGAGTGCAGGTCTGCTAGAAGTGGAGAGGTGTTGAGAAGGCAGAACCCAGAGATGTCTGCACCTGTTTTTTCCAAGGAGGAAAATGAAGCTGTGGCTGGTTGTGATTGTGCCACTGCGGGGGAGGATGGACCGTGGGGGTGTGTGAGAGAGAGAATTTAGCTAAAAGAACCAAGTTTGGGTCTCCAGGTGGGATTGTCTCCAACGCAGTTGCTTGTGAAGGTGGTGGCAGAACCTGTCTCGCTCAACTTGGGCCAGTCCTGGAGAAGGACCTGGAAGACTGGGGAACAGCTCATCTCACCCCCATCCTCAAAAAGCAGACGAAGGGAGGACCTGGGAAACTGCACAGCCACAACTCAGTCTCTGTACTCTGCAAAGGTCTTCAAACAATCCATCAATACGTTTGCGAGCACTTGGCTAAGTATGTTGGAATTGATAGGAGCCAGCATGGACACCTTGCAAACAAACTGTGCCAGATTAACTTCAGCTGCTTCTTGCTATAGCTTGGCAGGCTCTAAATTGCCACTTGGGCTCCCAGTTGGCTTAATGAGTGCACCCAATAGCGCTCGTTAATAGCTTCAGTTCAGCTGGGAAGGAAACACCAGTAGTGCCCCCCCCCCCCCCCCCAGCTCTGTCTTTGGCACTATGCAGTTTTAACATGATTCACAAAGGGGAAAACCTACCACTCTGGTCAGAGTTCATTTGCAATGGTCTGTGTAGTTCTGGACCCCACCACTCAAAAAGGAAACTGACTACTGCTTTCCCAAGTTCCAGAGTTCAACCCAGTGAGAGATGCCTATCCAATTGTCAGGAAAATCCCCAGGTTCCCCTCTTGACTCCTGGCTCTGTCAGCAACTTCAGGCTAAAGTGTAACAAATCCCACAATCAGCCCAGGGGGAGATCCAGGAGCTAATGGAGGACCACTGTAGAACAGCACCAGCTGCAGCTTCAGTCTCTCTCTCGACCCCTCCATTCTTAACACTTGCTGTCAGGCCTGCTGCAACTTTGACTAAGTGGAAACAATCTTGGCTCCGTTTGTTGAGAAAGGTATAGTTTCATCAAGTGTGTAGCCAGAACAGCTTCAAGCGTAAGTTGGTATGCAGCCACCGCCTTCTCTCAGCAGAGTGACCTTGAAATTGCAGTTCTGGGGAGATACAGCAAGAGGGGTGGGGAGTGCAGCTCTCCCCAAGAAGCAGTGACTTTTGCTTTCCCTCAAGCAGCCCCCCTCCATCCCCCCTCCCCATCGTTCATGGCAGACTGTCCCCACATGGCATGGGCATCCTGTCCCCTGCAAGATAGAGGCCCCTGTCCAGTGTCTTGCAGAAGTCTCAGGTGAAGTCAAGCATACTCCCTCTTGGCCTTGGCTTGCTGCTCTTGAAGGACCCAAAAGGCAGATAAGCTGGTTTCTCATACATCCATGCCACTATTCAACCAGGTCTCAATAACACAGGCCAGGTCTCTACACTTGTCCACCCCCACAGACCTGAACTTTATCAGCAGCAGCAGCAGGAGACCGAGGCACCCAACAATGTGGTCATCTGAGTTCAGGACCTGGGCCACTGGCTTAGATGGGACAAGCCTGTTTTGTAGAAACCAGCAACTTAAGAAGCCTTGGTTGGTTGGTCCCCTTATCCCTCATTCTCCCACTGTGGGACACGGGGCCCTCTCTGGCTCGTCTCCAACCTGATCCTGACCCACTGAACCAAGTGGTCTTCTAATCCGGCTTCCAAAGAGATCTGAAACCTCTCAGAGTCGAACCCCAGGGCAATGATCCTCGAATCTCCTGATTCTCGTGGTAGTGATCTCATACACATATTTTATGTATGCATGCATTTTAATTTTATCAGGTTAATTTAAAAAAGAAAAGAAACTTCTAACAAATTACAGCAAAAGAGTTTTATTAAGGGTTCTGTAAGTATTTTCCAATAACAAAATGTGAGAGTGATTTAAAGTATCCTTTTTTAATAAGCAAGTTAACGCAGCAGCTGTATTTCCAGGCAAAAGGCAGGGTGAACTGAAAGGAAACAGAGGCTCGCTAGCAATTTCTGCTGGGTCAAAGGCCACACCTCAGCCTCCCCCCTTGGCAACAGTCGCACAGATGGCCTCCTGTGGGGACAGTCATGTTCACTGAGGACCCCCATTTCATTCTCTTTTCAGGGGGAGGTGTCAAGAATCATAGTGAGTGGGTTGCTTCCCAAGATGCCTGCTCATCGGAGCAAAAGGCTCACCACCAAAACTCTGCCATTTTACTGCCACATCTTGGTGAACTTTGGGCTGCCAATGCGGTGGGGGGGGGGGCTTTGGGAGCTGCCTTGCCTGAACCCATGTACAGCCTGGGCATGCCTGACCTGAGATCTTGGATGTCAGATCCCTCAGGCATGCCTGTGGCTGTTCTCAGGAAAGGAGGGGAGGGGTCTCACAATGAAAGCCAGGCCTGCACTGCAAGTGTGCATGTGGAAGGCCACGAAAGAGGATGGAAGCACCACTATCATTCGCACTTACTTCAACCCACTTCAGCAACTTCTCATAAGAATGGCCATCGGCTTTAAAGGGCGCTGAACTCAGGAGCTCGGCCACAAACTCCTTCGCAGGGATCTGCAGGTGCTGTAAGAAATGGGGGGAATCAAGTTCCAGAGCCAGAGCCTGGCCAGGCCGAAGGGTGCAAAAAGAGCCCTTGGGAAGGAGCAGCTCAAATGCCGTAAAGGGCCAAGCTTGCTCGCCAGCCCAGCCAAAGCATCTCCGGGCTGGAGGCAGCAGATCTCTTCTTACCCACAACCGCCGGACCAGAAGCTCCACTTTGGCAGTGGTCTCTTTAGGGTCCTTCTGCCGTATAGAATCCAAGATGACATCTGTGAGGAAACCATGGCACTTCTGGGCATAAAAAATTTCTTCTTGTGTTAATGGAAAACTCAGAAAAATGACATCTGCAAGAGAAAAGAGACCAAGGCCCTCAACTCCTGCCTTTCTACCCAGCTCTGAGCTCTGCCTTCTTCACCCCTTCCAGCTTCTGAGCTGGGAACGAAGCCCACGGCATCCTTCCAGGAGAGGTCCTAGAGCAGGGAGGGTGGATTCTGCCCACTTCCTTCACTCAGAATAACTCAGCCCCAGGCGAGTTGCTATTCCAGGCAATGTGCTCAAAGGACAGGGGCACAAATGGGATCCAAATGGCCAATGTCTCTCCCTTGAGAGAAAGCGTTGCTGCCGATAACTTCAGTTGGGGAAAAAAGGCTGAAATGGGACAATAACCCATGAGATCTTCAGGATTTTTTGACCCTTCTCAGAATGTACTCACAGTGTAACAACCAGCAAGACCAAGGCATGGTAGCATGAGATTTTAGAGTAACGTCTTGCTGGGGCGGACAGGAAATGAGATTTCCAAATTTCTTTTTGGATGTTAGGTGTGTACAGCCTGCCCTAGGACATTACCCACCCCCACACCTGCAGTCAAGGGCCTACCTTTGTCCACTGGGGGTGCCAGGGCACAGGCCAGAGTAAGGTCTTCAGTGCCTGTGCTGTAGAGAATGCTGCCTTCGTGAAAAACGCAGGAACCGTCGCCTGGCACAATGGGAGGGTGCTCAACCTTAAGAATCAAGCCCCTCACATCAAAGGTTTGGCAAGGAGCAGTTTCTTCAAGGGCAGTTCCTGCAGAGCATGGACAAAATAATTCCATTGGTGGTTTGAGGAAGGCAATATCTCTATAACTACAGTACAAAATCTCAACCGATGCATTTTGCATGCCCTCACTGTGGGGGCCTAACCAGGTTAATCCCATTTCACTTTGCTTCTGCAACAAGATTGTTAACAGCTAACAATTCCTAAAATATTTCAAAGAAAGATCCCCTGATACACTTACTAAAATATGCATGGAAGTAACATTGATATTACAATAAAAAAAATACTTTAAAAGCATAATTTGTTTACAGAAGCAGAAAGCCAGAAAACCATAAAAGCCTCTCTGCTAAGAAGGAAAAACGAAATTCCTTGGACCAAATTCTGCAGTTGTGACATGCAAAGCCTTCTTCTTGGAAACCATCTGCTCTACTTTTGCAGCAAATGTGAGGCATTCAGAAGGACCCTCGAAGGGAACGGTTGGGAGGAGGGGAGCAGCAGATGGACAAATCCTGAAAAAGGACCATGGGCATTTCCATACATGACAGTGGCAGCAACTATCTCTCCAAATGCAGGAAGGAGCCCAGTTCTCCAGAAATCAAAGGCAGAGCATCTGCACCACCAGAACCCAGAGAGAGTTTCCGGGCTCTTCTAGATGGAGCTGGTTGTGAGGGTTTGGGGAAGAGAAGCAGTTGGGGGGGGGGGAGAGGGGGGAATCCGGAATCACAATCTCAAATAAGACTTGTGCACTACAGAAACTAGGTGCATTACTGAAATTAGTCCTCTAAACATGCTCAGTGAAAGACCAGAAAAAATACTGGCCTTTGCTGTGGTAGACACTTATGTTCAAAACATGAGAATTAAAAAATCCAAGAAGAGCTTCAACTCTATGGTGAATATGATTCAATGAGCATAATGCAGACACGGCAGCATGTGACCTATCACTGATAGGAACTGGGGGAAACCACTAATTCAAAAGAAGAGAAAAGAGGAGCTGCATATTAAAAACATGTGTTGTTCTTTGGAAATCCAAGTGAATAAACTTGGCAGTGCCAAAGAGAGAATCTGATGGAAAACAAGTGGAAGAATAAATAAAAGCAGCATCAACCTTGCAATCTGCTATCACTCACCCACCCACCCATGGAAATATGGATTATAACAAGCAAATGAAGATTCTTTGTCTTAACTGATATAGTTTTAATTGCTCTGACAGCTGCTAGAATACAAACTCTGCCAAGCATGATCCAGGAAACTCCTCTGTTGTTTTGCTGATAGAATTAATTGCTTAATTAATTAATTAATTAATTGTGCATTGAATTATTTCAGGAACCCTTGGTTTATTATCCAATTTTTCTTCTACTAGAAAGCTCTTTTTCACTTTCACTTAGAAACTGCCTTCCGGTGGCTGATATCCACTATTTTGTCCTCATTTTAGAATAATGGAAAGATATCTTCATCATCTTCTGCATCCTTTTAGAAATGGGACAACTACGTGAGGCTGCTCCCTTTGGTATTATTTCCTGAAGGCTAAATATACCCAACTCCTTCCATCTCAATCGTCTTCAGTGCCTTTCCCTGAGTAGGTTCCTTAGATCTTCTTAAAAGTGTGATACCCAGATCTGAACACAATATTTGACCAGAGCAGAATATAATAGAATGACTAATTCCTGAAATTTGAAAATTTTAGATTAAAGTCCATTCATCTGTATTATACTTTATTACACTGGCAACTCTTACTCAGTTGGCAATCAACTACTATCCAAACATCTTTTTTACAACTACTGTACTAAGTCAGGTTATACCTCCCGCCTGGCACCTGCATATTTGACCTTTGTCTGCTAAACAAAGACTTGTTTCTATTAAATGTCACTATTTTACTTATAGCTCATTTCTCTAACCTAATTTCGTTGTTTCAAATCTTATTTCTGTTGTCAAGTGTGACAATAAGTTGTCTACTTATTTCTCACACAGTAGCATCTGCCGGGAAGGGGAGAGATCAACAACAAAGGCAAGATGGTGGCCATGGCAGTGTACAAAGGGCCAAGGATGCCTCCATGATTGCTCACCCCTGCCTCGTGGCACAAGATTCCCCAAACCAAAGACAGAAGGGAGGCAGCACCTTGCTTGGTGTGGGGAGGAGCCAAGGATCTGTCCCGGATGCCATCTGCCACTCGGCTTCCATCTAAAGGCCATTCCATCAAATATGGCTGTGGGGGAGATGCCTGGATTATGGCTGCTTCACTTTCTTCTGTCAATATGTCCCTAGGCCTCTCGGGAGCTTGCCTCGCCTCAGTGGAGCCAGGTCTGACACTGAACCCACTTTGGTAACACCTGCATTGTTGTTTGTGAGTCCTCATAAAAATGACAAATGAAGGTGTTGCAAAGCATTCAGGAGAGATCTGGATAGCACCTCACTTGATCTCTCCAATTTCATGAGGCACTGCCGGCAGCAGAGCATTCTCTCCAAGAGGAATCCCAACCCAGATGTTCATCCATTGGGGATCCCACTTCAGCCTAAGGAACACGGCTCAGACTATTTTTGAGAATAATTAGTGAGAACAATTAATCAATGGAACAGCTTGCATCCTGGAATTGTGGATGCTCCATTGCTTGAGGTTTTCAAGAAAGAATTCAAGAAGCGTTTGTGTGTAACAACTTCTGGAGCTAAAGACAAGGTTAGTAGAAACCCAAAGGGGAATTAATTATGACCTTCTCAAAACAACAAGGGTGAAATTAAACACACACATCCCAAAAAGGCTTTGTAATGAAATAGTTGGTAATGGTGCAGGCTTCTTCTTATGAATTCAAATTCTCTTCAGGGAAATTTAATAACAGAAAACAAAGGTCCTTTTTCCACCACAAGGTTTCCTTATGATGCAGTCAGAAACCTTGTGGGAACTGAATGAAGGAGCACCCGAAGGGTTGTTGACATAAATATCACTCATGCTATTCCCTTTTGGCATAAGGAGGCTTTGTGAAGCATAGAGAATCTGTAAGAAGCTTGAGTAGAGAGAAAACCATCTTCTGTAAAATGCAGATTATATGAACACAACTCACTGTCCCCCTCTACTTCTCTAGTCTTCCTTATGTCTACGGAGTCTCCGTGCTGCTTCGTGCTTTAAACGTCTTACTCATCTTTCAGAGCCTCTCATCAACTCCATCTAACCATTAATTTTGGTCTTTACCTTACTTTCAACCCAATCATTCTCCTTTCATATACAATATTTATTTTCCAAGGCAATCTTTATTCATTCACAAGATGGCAGCAAAGCATTTGAGTTTCAAGTATCCTTGGCTTCTTGTTCCACTGTTTACTAGACTTACAAGATGATCCCTTGATGAAACAAACAAAACCCTAAAAAACATACTAGCAACCCAAAGAATTGAGTTTTCTAGTTGTAGTTGTGAAACTGGACATTGACTGGATGACAGTTTACAAAGGAAGGCAAGGCTGCCAGTCCCCACTGCAGCCAGGAGAGGACGGAGGGCAGCAAACCCAAAAATCAGCCAGAGCCACCCAATGGCCATGACAGCACCCGGGACTTGGCCCTCACCCCGGGCGCACATTGAGGCACCTTCCATTGCCCACCTGAATATCTTCAAGTGGGACATTGGAGCAGACCAGCTGTGGAGTGCTGCACCTTGGGAGATACTCTCTCTGCCTTGGAGACCAAAACCAGGACTTTGGGGGAGAGTGACCATGTCATATTGGAATTCAACCTAATGCAGTCACACAAGCAATAGAACAAAGTCAAACTAGTATCTTAGACTTAGACTCTATGATAGCTGATTTCATCAAAATTGGAGCTTGGAAAGGATTCCATGGATGAAAAACTTAAATGGAAAAACAACTCCTGAAACTGGGGAAACTGAAAAAATGAGATTATAAAAGCCTAATCTAGCACAATACCACTCAAAAAGAAAAACAAGAAAGCCCAGATGTAATCAGTTTGCACATAGAACTCTCTGATAAAATAAATGACAAAAAAGGATAAGTATAAAAAAATGGAAAGATTGACATATAACTAAAGCAGAATATCAGCATACAGCCTGCAAAGATGAAGTCAAGAAAGCTAAGGCTCAGAATGAAATAAGACTTTCAACAAATGTCAAAAATAATTTTTAAAAGTTTCTTTCAACATGTAAAAAAGAAGAAAAAAGTCAATTGGTCCACTAAAGAAAGATGGCAAGGACATGACAGGCAGCAGGGAGAAAGTTGAACTGCTTAATTCATTCTTTACATTTTTCTTTACAGAAAAGGAAAAAAGCGTCAAACCTACCAAAAGCAGAGCCATAAAAGGCAAATTGGGAATACGAGTCAAAATAGGCAACATGGTAACACCTGTCTAGTCTAGAACAAGTTCAAATTGCAGGACCACATGGATTACATCCCAAAGGCCCTGGCAGCTGTGATCTTGCAACTATTGAACCATATTTTCACAGTTCCTGAAACACTGAGGAACTACCACAGGACTGGAAAAGGGCTGATGTAGTTCCAACCTTCAAAAAAGGGGGAGGGGAGGGGAATTGATCCAAGAAACTATAGACCAATCAACTTGACATCAAAACCTGGGAAGATCCCGGAAAAGTTAATCAAGCAACAGATCTACATATCTGCAAACACCTAGAAATGAGCAAAGCTATTACCAGAAACCAGCATGGCTTTGTCAAACATCATGCCAGACAAATCTTATTGCATTCTTTGACAAAGCAACTAAACTAGTGGACCAGTGAACTGCCATGGACATAGTATACTTGGACTTCAGTAAGGCATTTGATAAAGTAGGCCACCACCTACTATTTGATAAGATAGAAAATATGGGATAGACAGCATCACCATTAGATGGATTAGTCACATTAGTCCTTAATGGAACTGCAGCTACATGGATAGAAGTATGCCATGAGGTACCCCAAAGTTCTAATTTAGGGTTCAGACTCTTCAAAGGCATTTGGCCATATAGACCAGTGGTTCTCAACCTTCCTAATGCTGCAACCCTTTAATACAGTTCTTCATGTTGTGGTGACCCCCAACCATAAAATTAGTCGTATGTAAATGTATAGGCTAAGTAGTGAGGCTAGGGCTATTAATGTGGCTTCAATTGTTATGTTTATGTGGATTATCTTATTAAGGATAAGTCATTTAGGTATGAATCCTGTTGTTGGTGGTAGTCCTCCTATTGATAGGACAGTTGTTGAGAGAAGTAATATTAGGGCTGGTGAAGAGGGTCATGCTGTTCCAATGTCTTTTATTGTAGTTGATGATGTAATACTTATGGCTAAGAAGATTGGGGTTGTGGTTATGATGTAGATTATAAAGGCTAGCAATGAGATGTTTGGTGCTATTGGGAGTGTTGCTAGGATTCAGCCTGTGTGGGCAATTGATGAAAATGCTATCAATTTTCGTAGTTGGGTTTGGTTGAGGCCTCCAAGGCCCCCAGTAATAATTGATAGGATGGTGCATGATAAAAGGAGTGTTGCATTAATCTTGTTGTTCGGGGATTTCGAGGAATGCGGGGAGGGGGAGTCTAAAGTTTAGAGTTCCAATGGTCTTAGTGACCGCTGTGAAAAGGTTGTTCGACCCCCAAAGGGGGTCATGACCCACAGGTTGAGAACTGCTGATGTAGACCATAGCCTACTTCTTGATAAAATAGAAAAATGTGGCATAGAACTGCTGTTTCTTAACATCTGCCTTGGGCCCAATATTCTTCAACATCTTCATAAGTAATTTAGATGAAGGAACAGAAGGATAATTCATCAGATTTGCAGACGACACCAAGCTAGGAGGAATAGCCAACACTTTAGAACAGAGCTGGCAAACTCCTTGCCTGCGGGCTGGATGCCTCACGCACTGGCAACGGCCATGCCCGGTTTAGCAAAGGGGAAAAAAGGCTTGATATATCATGTGATGATACACCGCCATGACAATGTGAGTTTGATACCTCTGCTTTAGAAGATAAACTCGGAGGAGGAGTCAATGTCCATTGGACCTAAACCATCCCAAAGGGACGGTGAACAGGAAGAATACGTCTTGCTGACCTCAGAGATATCGCAAAATCCCTGTAGTTTTAACTACTCCAAGTAGTTTTAACTATTCCAAGGATCATGACTATCTTATCAAGAAGTTGATCACTAAGACTTCTCCTGAACAGCAAGCAATTAAAAATACAAGGCTCAGGGACAAAATAAATATTTTCAAGCTCTACCTACAATTTCTAAGGAACCCCTGATTTTTAGAATAAATAAGCCATGGAGAGAAATCCCTTATTCCCAATCAAATCCAGAAGTCATTTACAAGCAGCAAATGAAAGAGTTCCACTTACCCTTCTCTTTCTGGCCTCTCTGTTCCTGAGAGCTGGTACTTTTTCCCAAGGAGGGCACCTCCTCCAACGTGCTTGGCTCGTCCGCCTTTGCCAGCCAGCCCTGGGGAGGCAGGGGTCCCTGCTTGCACAGTCCAGCCTTGGACAGGTTTCCTGGTGCTCTTGGTGCCCCTTGTATGTCCATCTCATTACTGGATAGCTCAGAGCTGGAGATTCTGGAGCAGCTGGAAGGGGTGGTCCTCATGGACAATGCTCTCCATTTAGATTCTTCACCAGATCCTGGTCCCTGGGGAGCCCCACAGCATCTGCAGTGAGCCATATCCCAGCCTTGCACCAGGGAAATGAGCTTCTGAATGGGGGGGTCACTGTTCTCAAGGGGTTTGGTTAAGCTGCCCTTTGCTCCTCTTTTCTTGGGGGGGCTTCCTTCCTGTCGGAAAAGGCAGGAGTTTCCCCAGTCATCGGAGGACTTGGACATTTCCCAGGGAGGTTTTCGTTTTGCTCCCTTAATGGAAGAAATGCTGGTGTACTTGGTGTTCTCTCTTTCACTCACTTCCATAGATTGTGTCTCTCTAGCTATATTCCAATTATTGGCACACTGATCTAATTCCACAGCAAAATGTAAATGCTTCAAAAAAGGAAGAGGAAAAAAATCCATTAAAGCATAATTAATAATGTATTAATTGTATTATAGCAAGAGTTACGGTGGCGCAGTGGTTAGAATGCAGTACTTCTGCTGCCTGCCGGCTGCCTGCAATTTAGCAGTTCAAATCTCACCAGGCTGAAGGTTTACCATCCTTTTGATGGTAAAATGAGGATCCAGATTGTTGGGGGCAACAAGCTGACTCTGTAAACCGCTTAGAGAGGGCTGGAAAGCCCTGTGAAGCGGTATATAAGTCTAAGTGCTATTGCTATTCTTCCTTATATACATCTAAAGATGATTTCTGCTGAGAGTATCTGCCATCAGAGAATCCATTTTTTTCCAATGTAAACGATCCATTTCTAGCCTTTTAAAAAAATTATACTTACGCCAAACAGGAATAGGTAGTGAGGGAGATACTTTGCAGTGCTATTAACTAAGGAAGTTGGACTCCATAGGCTTGCACTGGTATAATATTTTATTATATTCTGAAATAACCACTAGAGCAAAACAATAAGACATTATAGAATTTGTAGTTATAAGATAAAATAACCAAGTAGAGCTAAAAGCAGCAGCAATGTTGCTCCAATAAGGAGGAGTGAAAGGCTATACAGGTCGCCCTCAATTTACAACCATGAAATCGACTGGAAATCAAGTCTGAGGCCCCTGTAGTCTACGCTGAGGCACACACATGGCTGAACCTGGTTTTTTGACATTTTTTGCTGGAGTCATGAAGCAAATCACCACAGTTGTTAAGCAAATCAGTTCTTCTGAATGGGGGATTTTTTTTGCCAGAAACACCAGAAGACAACAAGAAATATTGCAAAATGTGATCACACGACAACGGGATGCTGACTTGGTCATAAAGGTGAGCCAGTTATCAAGTGCCTGACATGTGGTCATGTGATAGTTTGCCACAGCTGGAAGCGCTGCAGGGGTCATAAAGCCCCCACTCAGAGGCTGTAGTAAAAGGCTGGTCTTACGTTGAGGGCTCCCTATCTATGAATATTATTAAAGCTGATGGGAAGTGTAGAAACTTGCTCTGTCTTACTGTCCATTATACTGCTATGTTTTGATTAGGGGAAAAAACCTGTTTCTCCCTCTATTTGTTTTCTGAGCCTGGCATTAATTTTTCTTTTGACTCGTGTTTAAAGTGGCAGACTTTTTCACCCTATCATTGGAAGGATACTTTTTTCTGCCGCGCTCAAAAATGAGGAAGAAGAAAACCAGCATGACAGTAGTAATAATAGCAGAATAAAAGAGAAAGAGCTGGGGGGGAATCACAAAATACAAATAGAAATGGAATGACTGTGGCAAAAGAAAGCAAAGATAGTACCAATGATCAGTCTCAAAAATCTGGAGCACCTCTTGACAAAATCCCCATCAGTGAATTGCAGCTGTGACTTGAAACAGCTGACATCCTGTGACAACACTTTTAGCAATATCGAAGAGTATCTGTCTATTCCAGGTCCTTGGCAAAGACTCAGCAGCTGGATAAAAATGCCAAATCTAAACATCTAGATGACTATGCGACCAATCACAATAATAGCAATAATAAAAAATAACGTTACATCTTGAAGGACTTTGTTGGATCCGGTATCCTTCTCTGATATTGGAGACTCAAGGTTTCTAACCGGAGAAGCTACATGTTGAACTTCCTGCTGTTGTACCCATAATCTGGAACACAAACATTTTATATCTTTTTTAGGACACATTTTCTATGCCTCCATAATATGGGTAATTGTTAAAATTCTCCTATTAAGAGTTAGAACAGGAGAAAGCTATGTGGGTATTTTTCCCTTTTTCCTAAGGGAAGAGAGAGATTTTGAGGAGCAACTGACACTTTCATATTCTTGGCCAAAGAGCAAGCTACTGGTAACTAACTTTTGTATTTTGTTCAAATGTCCTCTTACCACACCCTGATTGCTTAAAATGCCCCCACCACCGCCAGGGATCCTGCATTCCAAAGGGAGGGGCTTCTCTAAGACAGCCCAGCCCTTTTTTGGGGGGATGTCTGGGGGGGAAGGGCTGGAATTTCTGCACCTCTCCTATATCTTGTTCTTCTTCACCGAGAGCTCCTGCTTCCTATTACAGTATTATGACTTCTAAGAGGTTAATCAACCAATCAGAATAGAGCTGGAAGGGACCAAATCAAGCAGGATTTGAAAGGAATGGCTGTCTGGCTCCTCTTAAAAATCTCCAGGGATGAAGCAGCCCAGCAGGTCAGCCTCAATTTAATACCATTTGTTTAGTGACCATTAGAAGTTGCAAAACCACTGAAAAAAATGACTCCTGAGCAGGGGTGGGTTCTAGCCAGCATTACTGCCGATTCACTCGTGTGCACAGTTTAATAGAAATTGTTCTGCGCATGCGCAGAACTCCAAAACAAGATGGCGGTGGTGACCGAGGAACTGGTTCCAGGGCATGGCCAGCCTGGGTTGCTGCCAGCTCTGTGACCCAGGCTGGCATTCTACTACCAGTTTGGCCCAACCGGGCTGAACTGGTAGGAACCCATCTCTGCTCCTGAGTGTTTTTCACCCTTACGACTGTTGCAGCAACCCCACGGTTATGTGACGCTTGGCAACTGGCATGCATTTATTGTAAATGTTTTATTCATTTTCATTTTCAATTTTGTACATTCACTTATATACTGGATATTGGCAATAATAATATTATAATCATAAGAAAAACAAAAAACAAACAAACAAACAAAAACAAAAACAAAAACAACACCCCCAACCGAAACGCAACTCATAAACA